AGACGGAATTTGGTTTCTGTTTCTGTATTGGACAAATCAGGTTATTCTTGTTCATTTGGAAACAGTCAATTCAGTTTATCTTTTAATTCAAATGTTGTGGGAACCGGTTACTTGAGTATTTATGACAACCTATATTTGCTTGATACAATTGCTTCTTACAATGAATCCTTGCATGTGGAATCACGTGGTACTAAGCGTAAATTAAATAAGGAAAATTCGGCGACATTATGGCATAAGCGCTTAGGTCATATCTCAAAAGGTAGAGTTGAGCGTCTTGTGTCTGATGGCATTTTGGATTCCCTTGATTTTTCGGACTTCGACGTATGTGTTGAATGTATCAAGGGAAAACAGACCAAAGTGAAGAGATTAGGTGCCAACAGATCTTCGGATGTCTTAGAATTGATACATACGGATATTTGTGGGCCATTCCCTACGGAATCCTGGAATGGTCAACAATATTTTATATCATTCATAGACGATTACTCACGTTATGGGCACCTATATCTTATTCATGAAAAATCTGAGTCTCTGGACATGTTCAAAGCCTATAAAGCTGAAGTTGAGAATCAACTCAACAGAAGAATTAAAACCGTCAGATCTGATCGTGGTGGTGAGTACTACGGTAGATATGATGGTTCAGGTGAACAACGTCCAGGACCATTTGCTAGATACCTAGAGGAATGCGGTATCGTCCCACAGTACACTATGCCGGGTTCACCTAGCATGAATGGTGTAGCTGAAAGACGAAACAGGACTCTTAAGGATATGGTAAGAAGTATGATTGCTCATTCTTCTTTACCAGAGTCACTCTGGGGAGAAGCACTTAAGACAGCAGCTTACATTCTGAATAGAGTACCAAGTAAAGCAGTTGCTAAAACACCTTATGAGCTTTGGACTGGTCGAAAGCCCAGTTTAAAGCATTTACATATTTGGGGATGTCCAGCTGAGGCAAGGCCTTATAGGCCAAATGAAAAGAAATTGGACTCCAAAACAGTTAGCAGCTACTTTATTGGGTACCCTGATCGCTCTAGGGGCTATAAGTTTTATGATCCCACTATAAGGAATATTTTTGAGACGGGAACAGCAACATTCTTTGAGGATGTTGAGTTTGGGGGGAGAAATAAGGTTAGAGACATTAGTTTTGAGGAGGAATTGGCTTCAGATCCAATCCATACAGTTACTTTTGACAATATTCAGGTTCCTATACCTGTTGTTGCTCAAGAAGTAAATCCGGAACCTCAAGATGATAATGTTGAACAACTCCCTGTTCCAGAAGAACAAACTCAACAACCTCAAGAACCAGTGCCATTAAGGAGATCCACGAGAGAAAGGAGAAATGCTATTCCGGATGATTATATTGTATTTCTCCAAGAACATGAGGAAAGTAGTGGAATGTTAGAAGATGATCCAATCAACTTCTCTCAGGCCATGAAAAGTTCTAACTCTCAACAGTGGATTGATGCCATGAATGAAGAGTATAAGTCTATGCAAGACAATAAGGTTTGGGAACTTGTCCCATTGCCAGAAGGTGCAAAACCAATTGGTTGTAAATGGATTTTTAAAACCAAGCGGGATGCAAACGGTAATGTGGAGAGGTATAAGGCGCGTCTTGTGGCTAAAGGCTATACTCAAAAGGAAGGCATTGATTATACAGAGACTTTCTCTCCGGTTTCATCGAAAGACTCTTTCAGAATAATCATGGCACTTGTTGCTCATTATGATCTTGAGTTACATCAGATGGATGTTAAGACTGCATTTCTCAATGGAGACATTGATGAGATGATTTATATGGTGCAACCAGAAAACTTTGTGTCAGGAGACCCAAAGAATATGGTTTGCAAATTAAGGAAATCCATCTATGGACTCAAGCAAGCTCCTCGTCAATGGTATCATAAGTTTCAACAAATAGTTATCTCGTTCGGTTTTGAGATGAACATTGTTGATGACTGTGTATATCACAAGTTCAGTGGGAGTAAGTATATTTTTCTGGTTCTGTATGTGGATGACATCTTGCTTGCCACTAATGATATAGGCATGTTGCACGAAACCAAGAGATTTCTATCAAAGAATTTTGAGATGAAAGATCTTGGGGACGCCTCTTTTATATTAGGGATCCAGATACATCGAGATCGCTCTCGGGGTATTCTTGGATTATCACAAAAGAGCTATATCGATAAGGTACTTAAAAGGTTTGGCATGCAAGATTGCAGACCAGGTGACACCCCTGTTGCTAAAGGAGACAAGTTTAGTCTCAATCAGTGCCCTAAAGGTAACCTTGAAATTCAGGAAATGCAGAAGATTCCTTATGCTTCGGCTGTAGGAAGTCTAATGTATGCTCAGGTATGTACGCGTCCGGATATTGCGTACATTGTTGGGATGTTAGGCAGATACTTAAGCAACCCTGGTATGGATCATTGGATAGCAGTCAAAAGGGTTATGAGGTATCTTCAGAAAACAAAAGATTACATGCTCACATACAGAAAATCAGAGAAATTAGAGGTCATTGGGTATTCGGACTCTGATTTTGCTGGATGCCAAGATAGCAGGAAGTCTACATCAGGCTACATTTATATGTTAGCAGGAGGAGCTATATCATGGAAAAGTGTCAAACAAACACTAGTAGCTTCCTCCACTATGGCAGCAGAATTTGTAGCTTGCTATGAGGCATCCAATCAGGGAATATGGCTGCGAAATTTTGTCACGGGACTGCGCATTTTGGAAAATGTTGAAAGACCACTAAGGTTATATTGTGACAATAAATCTGCAGTAATGTATTCCAATAACAACAGGAGCTCAACTAAGTCAAAACATATTGACATTAAGTTCCTGGTTGTGAAAGAAAGGGTACAGAGTGGACAGATATCCATAGAGCACATTGGGACAAACTCCATGTTAGCTGATCCTCTTACTAAGGGATTGCCACCTAAGGTCTTTCATGAGCATACTGCTCATATGGGTGTGGTATTATTTGAGGATATTATGTTTTAGTGGGAGTTTGTATTTGTGGTGCTTTATGTTTGTTTGTATTGTCTGATCAGAATAAAGTTTTCAGTTAAGACACTCTGTTACATTATGTTTGGTTTTGACCTCACTAAGGAGGACCAGTTGAAAATAGACATGTACTGATCACATTGCATGTAATTTTCATGCTGCACATCCATGATTGATCTATGTCGTTTGATTGTATTGGTATATGTGACCATTGATGGGTCGAGTCACGATAAATGTGACGAAGGCCGCTTTGATCCTATATTGATATAGTCAATGGACGAGATTGTTCGGAAATACCTTTTCAGTGATAGCAATTTTTGAGCTCATAAGGTTATACACAATTTAAGGAATCATATGGTGCCCAAGTGGGAGATTGTTGGATTTAATCTAATAAATCTATTTGTGGGCACATATGATTAAATAAATGTGTATTGCTATCTTTCAGGATAACCCACTAAAGTGATCAATTAAGTTGGGTTAATTTGGTATTTAAATAAGTCATGTGGTTATATGTGCAGATACCAGGATGTAATTGTGATTTATTGAGGGGCTAAATTATAAAAGTACAACATCTATAAATAAGGGGTTATGGTCCCTAACCTAGGGTTACATTCTCTAATTCTCTACACCATCATCTAGCTAGAGAAATTCGGATTTAGAGAAACCCTAAGGTTAGAAGATCCAAAACCCATCTCAAGGTTCATCCATGGATTCAGGTATAAGCTTCCGCTCTTTTGATTATTGTTAATCTCTTTGAATTAATCATGGCTATATGGTTTTAGATCTCAAGTTTTGGTATAGATCTAACATAAAACACTAAGACTTGTTTAGTACGGGATTAATACTTGTCCAAAATAATAAGGGGTTTTACGCCTTAGAAACCACCTTTAATTAAAATATGGTAATTATACGGAAACAACCTTTCATTGTTTTAGTTATACAAAAACCACATTGAAAGTTGGTTTTAATTGCAATCAACCACATCACAGTCAAATTCTTCACTTCAAATCCAAAATTACCCTTAAAAAACTCGCATTCAATGTACATGACTCATTTTTCAGTGTTTAGGTCTTGCTAGGATACAAAATCACGTACTTTGAACTTGAATTTTTAAAGCTTATTTTTGGTTTTTTTAGTGAAATTTTGATAGGAGATGGTTGATGACAACAAAAACTTACTTTAAAGATGTCTTACGTGTAAATTAAAAATAAAAGGTAATTTACATATAATTATCCTATTGTTAAAGATGGTTTTCAGGAAAAGCCCAAGTAATAATAAGGTTTTCCCAGGTTATCCCCGTCTTTTTTTGATACAAGGGAAACCCGGTTAGCTCGCTCAACTCTACTCCTTTGGAGTCCGCCTAGCTTCCATAGTTCGAATCCCCCAATCCGCACTTCCGCACGGGGCACACCCTCCTCTCATATGAGGGGCCCACCCCCATGTGACTGGGGACATGCAGGGCCAACCTAGAGGGACTCAAACCAGTATGCGTACAGATGAGCTGAGTTAGCTAATCGGTAAAACCCCGGGTCTCCTTAACCACCCAACCTAAGGAGACCAGGTGAAATTGTAGCGGGGATTCGAACACAAGATCAACAGGACACAATTGCCTAGGGAGTCCACCTCCCCCATGGTGCTGCTAACGAAATGGGATCCTCTCCCCATGCATAGTGTCCTAATATTTCCTAATGTTCAATTTTGATCATTCATTTTACACATGTGGGACCCATTGGAGGGAATGGAGGGTGACAGAAGGGATGGATACATTAAGAAATATTAGAAAATACTATACATGAGGAGAGGATCCGGATCCGCTGCTAACCATGTTATCCCCGTCTTTGTCCAACGTCCATTCATGGAACATTAAACAAAAGCAAAATCATTAACTTCCTAGTACGCAAATGCCGCCCGCGGGTCCCACATCAGTGAGGGGGTAAACTTTTTATTTCCACCACCCACCCCCACCCAATTTAAAAGGATCCCTCTCTCTTTTATTCAATTTAAATTCAACACCCACGAGCAAAAAAAAAAAAAAAAAAAAAAAACCCTAAATCTCTCATTGAGCTCTCGCCCTCTCGCGCTCTCTCTCGATTCACTTGCAGGAATCTGAAGCAATTTCATCAATTTCAAGAATTCGTGAGCTTTCTCTCTCTCTTTCTCTCTAACCAAGCTCATGATTTTAATGCTGTTTTCGTAATTTGCATCCTTTTGTAGTTTGTTGTTTGCATGAAGAAACTAAATTTGACGCCATGAGATGCTAATTGCTACTAAATTATCTTGTATGTTGCTTGGACAAAGAAATCGCCCGCAAATTGAGATGGAATTGGGTTTACATTCTCCAAAATTTCAAATCCTAGCGTCTTTAGCATCCTTTGGGGAGTTATTCTTGCACTGGTATCACTTTGAAGCCTTCCCACTGCATCAAAAACCCACCTTTGGGGTTTAGGGTTCTAAGTTTCTCAGTTTTGACTGAGAATTCTTGTCGGATTTGTTCTATATGTTACAGTATTTAATTCAAACTTGGAAATGAAATGTTCCTAATTTCACCTTGTATTGGTTTTTGCTCGTCACACGCAAAACCTTTTGATGCTCCAAAGAGTTGGTTATAAAGTGTTTTATCCACCTTATATCTGCCAAGCACCAGAAATTTTCACTTGGTATGATTACTCGTAAAGTTTGTTATAAGAACAAATAATGAACTTGGTATTACTACGACCAATATTTGTTTCATCTTGTACCGTTGCATTACTCATTTTAATCCGAATAATGGGTATGAGTTGATTGCCATCTTAAAAGTAATACTAAGTGGTATAAGATGTCAGAAGACGCATTTGTGCTCTCTTGAAGATCTAATTTCTTATACCCAATGAGTGTCAAAGAAGTTAATCTGCTCTTCAAATGGGGAAACTCAAAGGGAATATGTAAAGAACTTCTAATAAATGAGACTGCATGTTTGCATTTCAGCACGGCATGATTAAACACAAATCGTATTTAGTACTCTAGTGTATCATACAACCATTTGAAAGTCATGCAAACGTATTTCATTAGCAAAGATAACCCCGGGTTTATAACGAAGATAACGTAGCGCAAAAATAATAAACCTCGGAATTCACCAAGGGTTGTTCTTTGAATCGACAAAGGACGATCTTCGAATCCACAAAAAGAATATAATAAAGAGGAATTTATTTATGAAAAGTTATGCCTCTAGGACATTATGCAAGCCTCTGCGTAAATAGAAAAACAAACTAAACTCCCATTAGGACCCGAATTTTATCAAAAATAGAAATAATAAAACTATCCTCAAAAGACTCATTATGATTGAGGAAACAAATCGGTCCAATTTAGAATCAAACCTGATTTGTTTCCTGATCAAAACAAACCCCTAAACATTACCTAAAATAGTAAAAAACTAACAAAAAACTCTAATCTCTCTCAATCCAGAGGGAATGTCACAAAACAAACCGTAGTAAACCGATTAACGGTGGGTGGTTGATTCCGTCTAGAAAAAATACACGATTTTCATATATAATTCGTCTAACCCGACATATGGTTTGAGAGATATGACCCGTTCTTAGTTACAAGTTATTTTCCTCTGCCGGACCTCCACTTAGGATTTTGACAGTCTAGTTTCTCCATGAATATATCTGTCGTGCGTTCTACATCGCTCTCCCCCTTCTTGATAAGAGCTCGACCCTGAGATTAAACTTACACGGACAGTTGCTCCTTCTGGTGGGTAGTATTCAAATAGATCAACAACATTGAAACGATGAGAAATGGCTAAGTCTTCAAGAAGGTCAATGACATAAGCGATGTCACTAATCTTGTTCAATATCTCGTAGAGGCCATACTTCTTGTTCTTCATCTTGTTATATGTTCCAACCGAAAAATGCTATTTTCGCAGAAACACCATCACCGTATCTCCTTCCTCAAACGCCTTCTTCCTCCTATGTTAATTAACATCCACCTTGTATTTAGCATTAGACTTTTCTATCTACTCTTTTACTTCATGTTGAATAGCTTGTATCTTCTCGGCTATATGATCTGCAGCAATTCTCTGACCCAGTAGTTTAGGCAATGGAAGCAGATCAAGATAATGGTTTGGAAGTCTCCCATATAGAATCACAAATGGAGCTCTACCTGTATTTCAACTCTCCATACACTATAAATAAATTCAACATGTTCCAGAGGAAGATCCTATTGTTTTGGACGATCGCTAGAGATGGATCTGAAAAGATCACCAAGAGTGCAATTGATCACTTCATTCTTGCCATTTTTTTGAGGGTGGTAGAAGCAAAGTTTTGAATCATTGCCACAATGTCCTCCAAAAGTGATACAAGAATTTTGAGTCACGATCAGAGATGATGAACTTTGACACTCCATGAAGGTGTACTATATCTTGAAAGAAAATGTTGACAATGTTGCTAACATCTGGTGTCTCATTGCGTGGAATGAAATGTGCTATTTTTGTGTATCTGTTAACCACAACAAAAATAGAATTCATATCTCATTGCGTTCTAAGGAGCCCCAATACAAAGTCCATTGAGATATCATGTCACGACATATTAAGAACAGGTAATAGTTTGTACAATCCCGTATTTTGGGACTGTCCCTTAGCAACTTTGACAAGCTGGACAACGTCGTACATTTTTCGTCTCCGTCAACTGAGGCCAGTAGTATTTCTCCTTAATGGAAGTAATTCTATTGTCGCTCTCCAGATGTCCTCCTAACCTATCACCATGAAGGTCTTGTATGATTTGCTCTCTTATAAACTCTGGGGTGTGCATAACTGGTCTCCACGAAATAAATAACCATCCTGAATATGAAAACCTCTGGCTAACTGATTCTTTAGACAGTTGTTCCAAGCGTTCTTGAAGTCTTCGTCTTCTGCATAAGGTTTCTTTAGGTATTTAAATCCAGTCACTTCTGTTGGTAAAGTCGCCAACAAAGTTGATCTCTGACCGAGTGTATCTGTAACCTTATTTTGCGCCCATAATTGTGCTTCAAAATAAAGGTGAAACATTGCATAAATGCTATCCATCGAGCATGCATACAATTAATGGAAGTTTGACTATTGAAGTGTTGCGCAAAAACTCCTCCAAGATCAAGTAGTTCTTCCAATGTTTTAAGGACTAGTGTTGAGGATCTGCGTTATCGTTTGGCTCAGAAACCTGCTCAATCAGTCCTTCTTCTTCAACTGTGCACCACTAAGAACACAAAGGGGGAATCTACTGTCACTCTCTAAGATCTCACAAAGGGTTGAAAGCACAGAGCCTTCGTAGGAGCACAGAGCTCAGATCGTGAAGAGGATCACACAAAGGGGGTAAGGCAAAGAGCTCAAGATCTCAACACCCTCGCTATTTCCCCACACCGAGCTACTACCGGCCCTTCACCTTAAATAGGGAAGGGGGCAGCCGACACGGGGGAGGAGGCTAGGGTTTAGGGAGGTAGGAGCCGACCTACGGATGGGACTCACAGCGGCGGCCATCAGATCACAGAGATCGGGAGGAGGTGAGAAACCATCGAAGAAAAAAGAGGTAGAGAGGGGCTAGGGCTCATCAGCTTAAATGAGGGAATTGGGCCTTTATGGAAACGGGCCACAGTCTTTGGGCCAACAAAATGACAACTAGACTATGACATGTAACTCTAGCTCATACGTGGTCCACTTTTGTCGAGCTTAACTGAGTTTTTCATTGTAGAAGACAACCTAATGCCCTTCCCGGGACAGGACACTACCAATACCCACAGTGGATGTATCACAATGAACACTTTTTGAAAATCTAGAAGTGCGTGCATTGGGGATGAGGACAACTTCTCCTTGATGTGTGTGAAGCTACGATCTGTATCTTTCCCCAATTAAACTTGTCCTTTTTTATGTTGTAGAAGGTTGTTAGACCATGAAAGCTACGAACTTCCCTGACAGCCTTCGGGTTAGGCCAATCTCGGATAGCATGCACATTCTTCTCATCAACATGAATATCATCTGCACTGACTATAAAGTCTAAGAATAATAGGTTACTAGTCATGAAGTTATACTTCTTCAGATTGATGTACAACTTGTTCTCCCACAAAGCTGTTAGTACCTCCCTCAAGTGGTCCATATGCACGGACGTGTTCTGGCTATAAATATTGATATCATCGAAATAAACTACAACAAATTTGCTAGTGAATGGTTTCAATACTTGATACATCAATCGCATGAAAGTGCTAGGAGGGTTGAAAAGGCTGAAATGCATGATTAACCACTTAGATAAGCCTTCTTTTATCTTGAAATCAGTCTTCTATTCATCTCTTTTCTCTAATGCGAATCTAGTGATATCCACTCTGAATATTAATTTTCGAAAATATTTTTGATCTTGACAACATATCCATCATGTCTTCCAAGTGAGGGATGAGAAATCGATATTTCACAATAATATTATTGATAGTCTTACTGCGCACACACATGTGCCATTCTCCATTCTTATTCGGGACAAATAATGCCAGCACAACACATGGATTCATGCTCACTCATACAAGTTCTTTCTGGATGAGATCCTCCACTTATTTTTGTAAGATCTCTTCTTCTTTCGAACTCATCCGATAATGTGGCAGGTTTGACAAGCGTGAACTAGGGATGAAATGAATATGATGTTGGACGTCTCGAAGCATCGTTAACTCGACAGAATTTTTTAGGCATGATCGCATCAAACTGGTGCCAGAGGGTCTGCATCTCATGTGGAATTTGAGCAGGGGCAGAATCTTCTTTTCTTGATACAACAAGAACATAGATCTCTTTTGATTATTTCAAATTTTTTGTAAAAGCTTCATTATTAATAACCAAACAGGTATTCTTCTCAGCTGTCTTGGCTGACCCCTTTTTTGTAAGAGGCATAAGCACAACCTAACGTGCATCTTTTTTTAAAATATAGATATTGTCTTCCCCCCTTTGTGTAGCATTAACATCTACTTGACATGGCCTATCTAAAAGCATATGACAAGCATCCATCTCGACCACATCGCACAACACCTCATCAATATAGTTATGACCGATGAAAAAAGACACCCGACACACCTTATCGACTTGCATGCTATTGCCCTTGTGAATCCAACTAATCTTATAAGGGGTGGGTTGCTCCTCTCTCTTCAAGTCTTAACTTCTGAACCACATGTCGAGAGAGAATACTCTCACTACTGTTACTGTCAATAATAACACCACAAGTCTTGTGGATCATGTTGCACGTTGTGCGGAAAATATTATGCCTCTGCGGAGGTTCTTCTTTCTTTGGAGCTAATAATTATCGCCGCACTATGCATGAAAGACGATACCCATCATTAGGATACTCAATATCCTTGTCATCATAGTATTCAACATCGTCTTGATCTTTATCCTCCTTATCACGGTCCGTCATGTTCAC